CTTGTGATGAGGAGATCTCTCTCCCTCTCGCCAAGGCACTTCCTGTTTCTTTTCTCGCTTTTTTTCTTTCCTTCCCTTCTTCTCGCTCGTACCTCTCTCTTTCTGCTCTCTCTCTGCTCTCTCTCTCTCTCTCTCTTCTCCTGTATACCATACCTTCCATGCCATGTTTCTCTTCTCAATCCTCCTTGTTTCCACTCTGCTTAGTCATCACATATCATTAGAAAAACTAATGGCACACGCCTCAAAAAGATAAATGATACTTTCAATCAGTATCGACGTGGTTTCTTGCACCGCGGTTTATCGATATTGATGATGATTATGATATTTTCACACGACATGCTTTGTCGAATAGTGATGTGTTCTGACTTCGACGGGGAGAGGTACTGCCATCTATGCCCATCGTACGATAGAGGTAAGATCACACACACACACACAGCACAACACACCACACAACCACAACAACCACACACACACAACACACAACACACACACACACACACACCACGCACGAGACGCACGCCCACGCCACACACACACACACAGACACACAACACACACACGCACACACACGCACACACACACACGCACAACACGCCTACACGAGCACAACACACGAATGCACACACACAGCACCAACACACACACACACACACGACACGACACACACACACACACACACACACACACACACACACACACACACACACACACACATACACACACGCACGCACGCACGCACGCACGCACGCACATGCGTGCTATACTTATACTAATATAGCTCGATGGCTCTACCTATGTGGCATTTCGTTGCTCCGCTACGGGTCTGTGTCGAAACCCAGATCAGCACAGATAGAACCAGTAAGTCCGTTGCTACTTTCGTCCCTCATTGTTTTACTCCAAATGACCCCCCCTGTGCAGGTGCTCGCTGGATTATTATAGGTGACCTACATCGCCACTTAAGAGTTAAATGCGTGCGCGGGCGGCTCAGACGACTGCCTTGTTATGACGCGGGGTTAGAACAACGAATGAATCATTCAGCGACTGCACACCGACGACCCCACCTTCTAACTTATAACCCGCAAATAGCATTACGTCTGTGTCTCTGTAGTCTCGTTACGTCACGCCGCAGACGATGTAGTTTATTGACTCGCTCGCCTTGCTTTAATTGTTCTTTAATAGCTATCTTAATCTCTATTTAAGCGCTGCTCTGTAATAATATTTAATAGAGAGCACTTCGATATAATGATTGCAGGCTATTAACTACTTTCCTCCAAGTGTTAATAATTAAAGGGGTAGAATTTTAGTAGTCTTGTGATGTCACGTGGTTCATTAAATCCAATTAGGCAGATAAGGAGTGTTTCATTGTTATTGTTCACCGTGTGGTTACTATACTGCGTACACCACGTGATCAATAATGAACGTACGTGGGCTAATAATGCGCATCACGTGGCTGATGTTGAGCGTGACAACGGTCATTACTGCCGCATCACGTGGTCATTACTACCGCATCACGTGGTCATTACTGCCGCATCACGTGGTCATTACTGCCGCATCACGTGGTGCAATAGTGCGCATCACGTAGATGGCTATAGTAATGGACACCCATCCCACCCCACGCGTGTGATTCGATGTTGCAGAGCTGCCGGATGTGACCTGTGAGGAGGACTCCATCTGGGTGACGTTCACGTTCACGCGGAGCTTTGTCGGCATGCTCTACCCGAAGGGTCTGTCGAAGAACGAGCGCTGCGTGACGCAGGGTAATGGAAGTACCCTGCTCACCGTGCGCGTGCCCTACGAAGACTGCGACACCTTGCGAGAGGACACGGTACGATGTCGCTAGAGTAGAGTTCTGGGCCGAGAGCTGTGATGCTTAGCGTTTACTGGATAGTAAAGGCACCGGCTGGGTAACCAGGAGTTATAATGAAGCAAGAATAGATGTGTGGGCCGAGAGAGGGCCGCTGCAATATTTAACGTCTACTGGTTAGTAGGCACCAGCAGAGTTAACCAGCGGTTATCGTGAGTGGGAGCTCTTAGAGGCCGAGGCCTCCTGGCAAGTAAATGGTGACTTAGGACAAGCTAAGATGTGGGGTCAACTGCAGAACTATTTTTATGCTTAGCATGCATGCGAAAGCAATGGTCTATCTCCGTTATATCGACTCTCGAGTAATATATTCAAAGTTTAACATACTTTCGGCTACGTGACAGTAAGAAATGACCGTATCGCTATATCTATAATTTAAATTATTAGAAATTATCTCGTTAATTCGATATATTGACTACATAGATCGTATGCGCTATGTGTTGGAGTACAGCAATAAATCACATATATTCAATATCTTGACTACATAGATCGTATGCTCTGTGTGCAGGATGACGGTAACAGGTCGTTTACGAGCACGGTGGTAGTACAGAGTCACCCGCTGCTGGTGACAGGGGATGACACCGCCTACCAGATCGGCTGCTACCTGCCACTGACCGCGTGGAAGGATGTTAATACAAGGTTCCGGGTCAGGTGAGGAGGCTCGAATGTTCTCAATGTACATCCCGTTTACTCACTCACTCACGCACACACGCGCGTGCGCGCGCACACACACACACGCACGCACACACACACACACACACACACACACACACACACATTATCTCTCTCTCTCTCTCTCTTTCTCTCTTTCTCTCTCTCTCTCTCTTACTCTCTCTCTCTCTCTCTCTCTCTCTCTCTCTCTCTCTCTCTCTCTCTCTCTCTCTCTCTCTCTCTCTCTCTCTCTCTCTCTCTCTCTCTCTCTCTCTCTCTCTCTCTCTCTCTCTCTCTCTCTCTCTCTCTCTAACTCTGTTCGTCTCTCTCTCTCTCTCTCTCTCTCTCTCTCTAACTCTGTTCGACTCTCTCTCTATCTCTCTCTCTCTCTCCGTCTTTTTCGAACCATTTCTAAGCTTGCTTTACAGTGGTTGTGTTACGTAACCTACTCCACCCACCCGCGCACCCTATCACCGCCAATCACTGCACCGTTGCCATGGAAACACGCCCCTCCCCCCGCCGCGCGCACCGCTAACATCCGCTCCCTGTTGTCGGCAGCACGGTGACGGAACCGCCGGAGCCTCTGTGGGCGACGCCCGCCATGCCAGCATGCTGGTTGCTCATCAGCGCCACCCTTGGTGGAGCGGCCGTCAGGGGCGCTGTCGGCGTCGGTGATCCTCTCTTCTTCAGCGTCGAGATGGACAAGAGTGGTGAGAGTGGTTATTACGTCACGTCCGGGTCGCGAGGTCAGACCGAGACCTAACAGTTAGAAGAAAGCGAGAAAAAAGTTTAAAGAGTCAGGTTATATACCGTTAGCGATGTAGTTACAGCGCGTGTCCGACAGAGGGCGCCGTCAGACCAGGATAGGCGTTATTCGAACTTTTCGAAATGAAATATTGATGAACGGCAATCGATCGTATATAAATCGTAAAGACTTGGTTTAGATTTATTTGCGATATAACGTAACATTCCTGTTCGCAGCTACGTACGGCTTTACGGTGCACAACTGTAGCGTACGCGATGACGTCATGGGGATGTCGCAGACGCTCATCGACGAAAACGGGTGAGCCGCGTACACGGTGACGTCGATAAAGAAACGTGGTGACGTAATCACGCTCGGGCAGCTCTCGCGTCACCTTCTCCCCCCTCTCTTCTTTCTCGCTCCCTCTCACACTCTCTCTCACCCACTAACTTTTCCTCACACTCTTTAAATCTTCCTCTCTTACAGTCTTGCACTCTTAATACATTTTTTTTTTCTCTCCTCTCGGCGAACATTTAATTCCACTGTTTAAGTCACTCTTTTAAAGAATTACCGATATCCTTGACTATTCGTCACGAATGATGAGGTAGACTCACTCCACTCGCTATTGCCAGCCGATAGCACTTGCGAGTTTACTGAAAATATGGAATTCGGAATACGACATGTGTAAAGCGGAGGCATGGACCGTCTCTACGGGACGTATACCCCCGTACGGGGGTTAGGGGATTGAACCATAGCGGTTTGACGAGCTTATCATTCGATGCCATTGATTGTAGTTATAACCTTGAAGTCGGCGATGAACTTGGGAGCGTTAAAATGCAGTGTGCATGTGCGTGCACGCATCTGCCACGTCGTGCACGCACGTCCGGCACGCACGCACGCCACGCACGCACGCATGTCTGGCACGCATTGGGCGTCTTCTCACGCATGCGTACTCGCTTCGCTGTCAGGTGCGCCGTCGACGAGCGACTGTTCGGACAGTTTACCTATGATCAGGAAGCTCAGCGCGTCTACACGGAGTTCCACGCATTCCGATTTCCGAATAGAGCTCAGGTGTTATTCCGCTGTGACGTCAGGCTGTGCCTCAAGCCGCGGTGTGTCATAGTAAGTATGTGTGTGTGTGTGTGTGTGTGTGTGTGTGTGTGTGTGTGTGTGTGTGTGTGTGTGTGTATATATTATGTGTGTGTGTGTGTGTGGTGTCGTGTGTGTGTGGTTGTGTGTGTGTGTGTGTGTGTGTGTGTGTTGGTGTGTGTGCCGCGGCGCGTCTGTGTGTGTGTGTGTGTGTGTATGTGTGTGTGTTGTATGTGTGTGTGTATGTGTTGTGTGTGTGTGTGTGTGTGTGTGTGTGTGTGTGTGTGTGTGTTGCGTGGTGTGTGTGTGTGTGTATAGTATATATGGTGTTGTGTTGTGTGTGTGTGTGTGTGGTGTGTGTGTGGTGGTGTGTGTGTGTGTTAGTGTGTGTGCGGCGCAAGGCTCTGTGTGTGGTTGTGTATGTGTGTGTGTGGTGCTGTGATGTGTGTGTGTTGTGTGTGTTGTGTGTGTGTGTGTGTGTGTGTGTGTGTTGTGTGTGTGTGTGGTGCTGTGGTATAAATGGTGTGTGGATTGTGTGTGGTGGTGTGGTGTGTGTGTGTGTGTGTGTGGTGTTGTGAGAGCAGAGACGAGAGAGAGAGCGCGCGTGTGTGCCGCTTCTTGCTTAATTCTTCTTCTTTCTTACTTCCTTCTTCGTCGTCGTCTCTTTTTCTTCTGTATTTTTCTTCTTCTTCTTCTTTTCTTCTTCTTCTTCTTCTTCTTCGTCTTCTCTCTCCTCTCTTCCTTCTTCTCCTCTCACCACAAGTCTCGTCCCTCGCATCCCCCTTTTTTTCAATCTTTACTTATTAATATCTGCTCCTCCTCCATCTCCTCCATCTCCTCCATCTCCTCCATCTCCTCCATCTCCTCCATCTCTCTCATCTCCAGCTCGTCGTAACCTGGCCTGCACTTACTGTGTCAAAATCCGGAGCGCTGGCACACGGCCCATGCATCTGCTGCTAGGGCCCCCAACCCTACCCACCAACTACCATCTATTACTATTGTCTAAACCCCTCCGATGAATGAACGCCGACTGAGCTCATCAACGCACAACGCGCTGGGACCTGCTCTTTCTCTTCTTTCTTTCTTCTCTCT